ACCCATGTTCGTGCAGCAAGTGAGGACCAACACAGCTGCAACTTATAGTTCAAAAGATCCATGGCCAGTACAAATAAACCAATGCTGTAAAATTCAAAGGCCATTATACCCAGGTAGCAGTTCCAACATCAAGGCACAGCCCAAAACCACACTAGGAATACGTCCAAGCATAAGATACACAGAAGGAACCCAACCAGCAGTGACTATAGGAATCATGCCACTGTCCATACGGCACCCACATAGATTATACAAAAATTAGGCAAAAATAATAGCATGGCCTCACTCAGGCAGTAACTGAGTTCATAGAGCAAGAACACCGGTACGAAGGCAAGAACACAATTCATAATCGTCAAGAATAGTAGGCCATTCCATAAATTTCAATCCCTCAAATAAATGTTGTTAAAACACCTTAAACAACCTCTCAAACCCAACGCAACAACAAAGTTAATAAAAAAAAGCAAGCAAAAATTGACAGAAATCGTAGTCCAAATCCAGTACATACGAATCCCAAAAATCCTCAAATCATGAGGGAATTCAAATGAAATTGAAATCAAGCTTTAAAAGAAGGAGGGGTATCGCAAACCGCTCAACATATCGCAAGATTAGCCATCAAAAGTTTTCGGATTCAATCGAATCGGAGAGATAAAACTTCGAATGAACAGTACCCTCCATGGCATGGGACTGACAGCGAAGGCTATGAATTGGCGACTGGGCAGTCGGCGCTGGGTAGTGGGACTGACGGAGAAGGCTCTCGGCGAATTGGCGATGGCTGGGACTGACGGTGAAGGCTCTCGGCGAATGCTTCGCTCTCGAACAGCACAGGCGCAATGGCGATTAAGGTCAGGTAAGGTTGGGCGATGTTTTTTGAACGGAAAAACGAAATTAGGAAGGAGGAGAATGAAATTGGGAAGAAAGAGAATGAAATTGGGAGGAGGGAAAATGAACTTGGTGAAAATTGGGAAGAGGGAAAATGAAATTGGGAAGAGGGAAAATGAAATTGGGAAGAGGGAAAATGATTTTGGTGAAAATTGGGAAGAGGGAGAATGAAATTGGGAAGAGAGAGAATGAAATTCGGAAGAGGGAAACTGAATTTGGTGAAAATTGGGAAGAGGGAGAATGAAATTGGGAAGAGAGAGAATGAAATTGGGAAGAGGGAAAACTTTCTATTTTTTCTATGTCCTTTCAGTTTCTTCCAACAACAATTTATTATAATTTGATGATATCTTATTTGATCTAATTTTGTCTTATCTAATATGTTAAGATCTAGTCTGATTTGATCTGATTTGAGTGAAATTATATGTAAGGTTGTTATGTGGGATTCAACTTGGTTGTTGTTGTTGTTATATGTAAGGTTGTTGATCATTTGATAAAATAAAATACTATTATCACCTCTTATTTTGTAGAATATTTAGAAGAATTGGATATGTGCAAGTAACTAGATGATTGGTTCGATTCGAATCAAATGAGTTTAGTTTCAGTTTAGTTCTGAGTCGGTTCAGATACGGTTCAGATATTAATCAGTTCAG